GTCTACTGTTGAATTATAACAATAATGTTGATAACAATAAACGGAACTTTGGAACTTTTTTTGTTACTTATTTAACTGTTTGTTCTTCCGTTCGTTTGCTTAGATCGTAAAATTTGCGTGACAGTGGGCCATTTTCGATATCTTAAAATTTCAGACTTGGCTCCGAGGCTTGGGGAAATAAATATATCTTATTAACCAAGCGCGAGGGCCGCACTGGGAGAATATCAGCCCGAGGTCTTGACAGTACAGACCGAGCGCAGCGCGGTCCGTACAATAAAGACCGAGGGTCGATATTCTTCCAGTACGGTCCCGAGCAAGCTTGGTTAAGAAGAGATTTATTATACGACTGAAGTTCAAAGGGACACAAGTGTGGTATCATTCGGGACCATTCGGGACAGTGCCCGGTCCAATACTTAGGGAATATTGGACTAGCAATAGAGCATTTTGATTGGTTGATTTTAGTTATTGGCCCTCTGACTGCCCGAGTCGTGTAATAAAACAAAAGAAATCACTGAGATCGAGGTATGAAGAGTTGAGTAGAAATTTTGTAGATCGAAAATGCCCATCGGCGATTTTGAGTGTTCCATGGGTTCGGCCGGGGATGTTACTCTTGCTAAGCACTTTAGTTGTGTTGTGGGGGATTAATGCCTTTCAATTGTTTGTGTCATCTGTGAGAAGATTTGTCCTCAAGACCAAAAACAATTCGGGACCTTTCCCTTCAACATTTGATTTTACCAGCATGCAAATGATTTTGTCTTACATGCTACGAGTAAAGTTGGCCTCGTTTTGTAACGAGGCACTAGTCAGCTCGGAAATGGGTTTTCCACCATCATGAAATTCCTGATTGTATACTTGCGCTCTGATCTCTAAAAATCATTTTGATAAAATTGGCGTTCTGCATGCTCCCACGTGTGATTTTGTGCCAAAAACCCCCTTCCCTCCCCTCTCACTTAAAGCTTGTCCTTACGATAGTTCCGAGAGAAAATGATAACATGTGTTAATGCCAAATGCCGGAGTAGCGCTTGCATTATGCGTGATTAAGAAGTGATGGTAAACTGGGAAGGAATCCAGGAGTGTACGCAGTACTCACAGTCATATGTTTCCCAATATTTTTCCAAGAGACTCGCTTTGCATCCGAAACTAAACCCGTAGAACCGAACTTTTTGTTTAATGAAAAGGGCAGGAGTTGTAACCTGGGAACACTAAACCATCAATTACTTAGTCATTGCCACAATTTAATATTTCTCTAATTATTATGCAGATAGTATTTTATGTACACTTAATTGACAAATTAATACAAGTAATAGTTTTGTTAAAAGCGCAATACTTAAGAAAGCGGAATTGAAAATTGGTTTGACCGACCGACGTTACAGTGCTTTATTGTAGAAAAAATTTTCAAAGCTTTTTCGTTATTAGAGAATTACGTAAGCATCATGTGTTATGATATCATAAAAATGTTTATATCGAAAATTGATCCTTTAGAAAAAGATTTCTATAGGAATAAAGAAAGCTTCAAAATTGAATTAAATACTTTTAAAAAATTCAAGAGTTGGGTCTGTTAACTCTCAGTTATAAATGGATATGTTTATTTATTACACGACTCGGGCAGTCAGAGGGCCAATAACTAAAATCAACCAATCAAAATGCTCTATTGCCGGTCAATATTCTCTTATTATTGGACTGGGCACTGTCCCGAATGGTCCTGAATGATACCGCACTTGTGTCCCTTTGAACTTCAGTCGTATAATAAATCTCTTATTAACCAAGCTTGCTCGGGACCGTACTGGAAGAATATCGTCCCTCGGTCTTTATTGTACGTACGGACCTCGCTGCGCTCGGTCCGTAGTGTCAAGACCTCGGGCCGATATTCTCCCAGTACGGCCCTTGCGCTTGGTTAATAAGATATATATATATATAGCGTTCTCTCAGCTCTTACATCAGCGACAATAAATACATTTTTATATACAAGAAATCTTCTGCCACTTCACCGCCGAATCAATGCAAACAAAAGCGTTTTATCATCATGTTTCAGCCGCTGCGATAAAATTTTCACAATGTTGATCTCATTACACTGCATTTGCAGAAAAATTGAAAATATTCTACATGCTGCTCTTTGTAATTTACATATGATGAAACTACTAGGAAATTTTGTCACTTCAAGTAAGCTAAAATTTAAAAAAAAAAAGACCCTGAAAGATTATTTCCACTAGCTCTTTAGTCTTGCTAATACGGAACAGGTCAACCTGAAGATTTTGCGATGTCTCTTTCAGGCCATATTTCCCCGCGTATGTAACGAGAAATACTACGCTGTTTACTGTTATGTAATCCTGCGTTACGTTGTGTTATGGTGCGTTACGTTACGGTGATGAGACCTGATATTTACAACCGGTGCCGAGACGTGATTAAATGTTGCCAGTGTAAAACAGGTATGTTTTGATTACGTAACTGTACAACAGACATCTTACAACTGGAAGGTGATATGGAGTTGTTCCCATACATTGCCACTGGATATTGCGGCAAGACATGACGCCTGCAAGAGAAAGCATAAATGAAAATTGTATGAAAGAAAAAATCTCATTAAGTCTGAGTAGTATTTTTCTTGTAAATTGAATTTAGTCGGGGAACCTTGCTTAGCTGATACCATAAAATTAGATTTTTCCAGAAAAACGTTTGTAAAAAAATCTTTTAACCAAATGAAGAATTTATTGAATATTTTGTTTCATTTTTTTCCTTGAAGTCAATTTATTTTTCTCCGTCGTCGTCGGAAGTGTTTAAACGCAAAGAAGTTGGAAGAAAAATAATGAATAATTTATTCAGCAATACGCACTTCTTTTAGAGTGGTAAAACTAAAAGGTTGGTCGATCCCAATAATTCATTCATAGGTAGATGTTCCTATCTCCACTCAGCGTACGTAGATGTTTTTGATCTGATGCAAAACAGTAACTGTTCAGTTTATAAACCCGTTCATATCAATGCATTTTTTAAAAACTTACCTTTCAACAGGCCTGCGTTTGAAAACGACTTCCAGCAAACGCAGCTGCTCTGCAGTGTTACATTCGCTAATCTTGTTTCTGCAATCAAAGAAGGCCTCCACGGCTTTCAAATTTGCTACTGCAAGCGAGTACTTTCCTCTCCACAAAGAGCCATGTATTACGTCCATGCAGAATTGCCTGTCTTTTTCGCTATTTGAGCTTATAGATGTGAAGTTGATGCTATATTCTGGAAGTGGCATTTCACCGGTAAGGAGATGAGCTAGATACGGTTGCAACACATCCCAGAATTTTTCCACCTCGCACTGAGTCCAAATTGGATCTTGCTGTCTTTTGAGACAATCATAAATCGCCATTGTTTTCACGTTTGCTCAAGAGATTACGCATCTATAGCTACCGTGATTATAAAATTGCAATAATACTGGGGGAGAATGTCTCGGTTTTTATCATGCTAGGCTGTCGGACCTGGAGAGTTTCCAAATGAATTATTTGTTTACACTATAGTACAGAATTCTCGCCTGTGATTGGCTTCGACTCTATGCTTTTGTTTGCGGTAAAATATGCTGATCCTCGGTTTAAAAAGGTAAAGAGAATTTCCAAGGTACTTCGGACTTTGTTGTTTTTGTTTCAGTTCACGAAACATGAATTATTGTCCAAACAAACGATTTCGGCTCTTACCTTTTGTTTCATAAAATCATTATTACTTTTTCGTTATTTAACTTTGCAATTTGGGAGATAAAATCACTTCCTTGAAGTCAAAACAGGCAAAGGTCACGTAGGTACTAGTTCGGAACAGTTCGGCTTCACGAGTGACGCCGACAATGACTTCCGAATGTTACGATGCCGTGCCGACTTGCTTTAATCAGTAGGAATCTTTATGCGGCTTCAGTCATGTTATGAAACACAAAATTTCATCATCTATTAGCCTGCAGCGCTTGCGGTTATTATTTCGGACAAGAAAAGATTTGGCGGCCGTGGAGTAGCTAAAAGAGAACGGCGAATGTCTCGAGAGATATTGCAGCGCGAAGGAGCCCGAGCATCAACTAAAAAAAAACTGACAACTTGCCTTTTACACGCTACAACCACTATTTTTGTCTTATAAATAAACCAGAATCTTCAAGGTTCACTCATGCCCTTTGTTTACCGAGAGGGGACGATAAGGCGAGAAATTTAGGACATGCAACAGTTGATTATAGTTTGGTTTCACAATTTTCCAAGGCTGAGTGAGCGTCTAAATAGCAAAGGATAAATCTAGGAAAAGTGTACAAGGATATCGATTCCTGTCTCAAGACGACTTTTTAACGCAAGCGTCCGAGTAAAATCAAGTTTTAATTTCACTCAAGACAACTGAGTCGCAAAGCTAAAAACAGTAACCACTGTGTCTAAATCTATTTTTTACTCAAATTTTAAAAACCGCCTTATAAGCCTTTTACAAATTGTTGCGTCAGTTCGGATTTTACATTTGTTATTTTACACTGATAAACTAAAATTAGTATAAAAATCCATTACTTAAGAAATTCTCAAAGTGGACTAAAATTGTGTGTTTCATATTTGTACAACAGATAGCCAAAGCTCTGATTCATTATCAGGTTATTGTTACACTTCATTTGTTATCTTTAGAAATAACGATATCATTTATTGCAATTTCATTACTTGTGTATATTCACTCATTTCAGGATGCTCATTTGTACAATATTTAACAGACAAATTATTATATACTTTAAATTAAACAATTCACTATCTATTAATAATAACTATCTATCTTGTAATTCAAATATCTAACGAGATCATTTAAATATTATTTGTTCACCATTCGGGGATGGCTTAGCATAGGGCCTGGGGCGAGGATAAGGATTAATGGACTACCGATCTTTTCTCCTCGTGAGCCTCATATAAACTTGGATTATCAATTTTTTATATCAGAATTGTAAATAATTGATATCAAATACTATATATTACCTCGAGTCATTGCATGACTCGTGTCTGTATATCAAATAGCAAGAATTCATGAAAACGAAATAATTTACACTCTTATTATGAAACAACAATACCGTTCACTTGATTGAAAAACAACTTATTGATTCTCGAATCTTCAAGCCGTCAGGCTGCACCTGGTTAGAAGGCAATGTTCTTCGTTTCTACAATAGTTAGGGAAGGCTGAGACAAATTGCGTTGTATTATTTACACTTACTTTGGGCACTAAAAAATTTTCTGTTGTCGTTCTTAAGAAAATAACTTCTGGCGTGAAACTCTTGCGAGTGTAAATCTTCACGTGACAAACTTGTGAGTTTTAAGGGTTGTCGGTCCAGACATCAATACCATCGGCGCTACAAGGAAGAAGAGTAATAAAACATGATTTTAAATAAACGATGATAACTGACTTAGAAAGCAGGGCGAAAAATGGTTTCAATTTACTGGTAAAACAGAAGATTATTTCATGATTGACAAGAAATTTAGTCTTAAATCCATATGTAGGGGGATAAATAGTTGCGGCACCGCCCTGCAAAGGTAGCGATTGAAAGCTATACATCATTTTAACGTGTTTGTTCGTTCAGATAAGAAGGCTAGCAGTCGTTGGAAAGAAGCCTTGGAAAAGTCACGGTTTTCTATCTTCATCGATTCCATGCGGAGTTCTGATGTGTTATATTGAAAATAGCTAGAATTTTTATTACGAAAAACTTGTACACTATCTACGATAATGATTATCGCCATCCAAACATTACTTTTAGATGGTCAATATTTTCAAAAACAAATTGGATGATCAATATTTTTCAAAAAATAATTCATTAACTTAGCGGGTAATTAAGAGATACCAACTTTTGAAGTTATTTATAAGTTAACACGACTCATTTCCTGCCTACAAATTACTAAACTACTGTTTAAGAAATTACTAACTTCTGTTTAAGAATCTTCCGCCTGCTATGTTTAACTTCAGAGTAAACCAACTCAAGCAAAGAATTGTCTTGTCAATTAGTAACGCACTATTAAAACACACCATTTTCGCACGAGATATAATAAATATTAATTTTCATCGCAGATACGCAGAATTCACAATCGACTCTCTAATATTATGTGAAACTTACCTGCGAGTCATGGGTCTGTTTTCAAATGCTTTCTTCAATTCGTGTAATAGATCAGAAACGCCAACGTGATTATTTTTGGCGCTCCCGGCACTGTCTCGAAAGAAAGTTTTGATTGCTTTTATATTAGCCACGGCCAGAGAGTATTTTCCTTTCCACAGCGATTGGTGAATGATTTGAATACAGCGTTGCTTGTGCTTTTCGTTTCCCGGGTCCAGGGAGGAAAAATCAATGTCAGAATCTGGTAGAGGCATTACGTCGTTTAGTAGTTGAGCCAAGTAGGGATGCAAAACTCGCCAGAATTGATCGACCTCAATTGGTGTCCAAATGGAATCACGAAATCCCTTCAAGTAGTCTGAAATAGCCATTTTTTTTTGTAGGGATCTATCTGCTGCTACGTTGTTCTGGATCACGAGTAGCTACGAATCACCAATTAGTCGCTTTCTAAGTGATTGATCATTATGTTTGGAACGTTTGTTTACAAACTACGTCATACCTGTTGAACCGGATTAGGCCAAGGCACAAGAGTTGCCACGTGCAAAATAGTTGCACACGGCAATTTTTCGTTCATTAAACCATAGTTAATCGAGGGGACTGGGTCCCTCGATTAACTATGATTAAACTGAGATTCTAAATACTTTAGAGAACACGAGGAATCGTTCAGGTGGATAAAATGAAGGGAGAGCAACAAGCCGCCTCTTATTTTCTGCCCTGTGGCACTGTGATGCCCTAGTTCTTTCAGGTCTTAGTGGAGCTCAAAGTCCGTTTTGGGTCAGGCCTGGTTTTGGGTAGTCCCTGGAGAGCCTCATGACTACGGTTGTGTGACTTGTTTCGCACGTGACGAAACGTTGTCTACATCACGCCGGAGAAAGGCAAAACGGTTTTTGGCCATATTGGAAAACAGCTAATATATATATAACGATTTAACAATTTAATTAACATTAATTTCTATGTTTGTTTTTCTTGTAAATTGTGATAATTTTTGACATAGTAATTATTGTATTTTTTAATATGTGTTAACACGCCCTCTTTGTAAACCTATATAAGGAGTTTGTAAGTTATTGTATTACAACTAATGAAGGTCTCGGACCGAAACGTTTTTTATTAAACTTTTTAGATTTTTTTGTGAATATAGGTCTTCCTTTGCTCAAAGTTGTCCGTCCTCGTATGCCATACAACTATATATATATATATATTTTCCGTCCACACTGAAAAGATCACAGGCTGTAAAAGCGTTTGCTTGCTTTCCTCGGCATGTGTTTGATAGAGGTGTCCTTAACCCGCCAAAGAGTAAAGACAGTGACGTCAATGTGGTTTGTAAGGGCTTTTTTTCGCTCGTGCACGAAAGTCACTATGAGCTAGCGCTGAAAATTTTACTCGTTCCACAAATCTAGGTATTTGGCGTGCCCAGTCTCTTCGGTCACGGAGATCACCGAAGTAAAATTTCCGCCGAACAAAACTAACTGGCGGTACACAGGGGATAAGGAAAAATTCTACAAAGTCTGACCATAGTTAGTAGAGGGGACTACTAACTATGGTCTGACAGACCGTATGGGAACAAAAACAAGAATCGAATATAGCCCCAGGTGTAGTCATAACGAGGTCAAGTTTCATCCCTAATCCCTTTCCTTGGCTTTTAAACAAGTTAGATAACGTAAAACCAGCCGAGCTCCGTTAATAGACGATGGGGGCATTGGAGCCTCTGGGGCCTCTGGGAAACCGCAAAACCGGAGGAAAAAAAACTCCAAAACCGAAAAACCGACGAAAAAAGACAGCAAAACTGAAAACCGCATGCAAACCTGACAAAATCGCTATATTTTCACCTTTGAAGGGGTCAAAAAGTAAAAACCGAAAACCGCATCAGAGTTTTCGTGAAAACCGAAAACTGAATGCAAAAACACGTAAAATCCGCAAACCGCTCTGAACATCAAAACCGAAAAACCGAACCTTTTTGGCCCAAAAACCGATCCGAAAAACCGATCCAAAAAACAGTCAAAACCGCAAAACCGAAAATCCCAAAGCCCCCCTCATAGACTGTTCTTGATTACCTTGCATGAGTTGCGTGATATACAGAAGCAAGGATTGTCCCATGAGAAATAGTCTCTTATTGTAATAAAATATCTTTCAGCCGACACTGGAGTAATTTTTACACTTAAATCCACGATTCTCAGCATATACGCTGCACACTACATGCAGTCTCTCTCTAATTCGACTGCTGAAACAAACACTTTTAAAGCTCGTGGTCTTTGGTACACTATTCATGGAAGAAACGCCGTTCAGTCCATCTCTTACAATATCTTTCATTATAGTTATCAGTGACCTCAGTTGTTTCCTCCACTAAAGAAGGGAATTATCAAAGACGGTTTTCAGACATCCCTTACTATTTCTAATGCTCAGATACAAGAGAATATCAGTTGATATTCTATCGTTAGATATATACCTGTATGTTACAATGTTATTGCCTTTTTTCTAGGCCTCCTAATTTTGGCTTTGTGAGTCGAATGAATCAGTGAGCCTCTCACCTCGGTTACGTCGATAAAATTGATTAACCCTGAGTGTCCGAGAGAAAGCATCACAGGAAATACGCATCGCAAATCCGCCTCCCGGTTAGCTCATTGGATAGAGCGCTGGACTATTATGCGAGAGGTCGAGGGTTCGAGCCCCGGCCGGACCAACACCCAAGGTCTTAAAATAATTGAGAAGAATTTGCTATCTTTCTTTAACATCAAGAATTGGTTAGATATTCTAGTCTTCTCGGATAGGGACGAATAAATGAAAATCCCGTCCCCTGCAGGGTTGGGGTGGGAGACGTTAATTTCCCACACACGAGATTACTGTGTGATGGATGTCCTCCCCTGGGGTGGGATGGGCGGGAAGGTGAGATCGATAGACTGAAGCGGCTGCCAGAGGCGCCTGATATGCTGACATCTGTTCTCAACCTTACACTGCACCTGTAATTCAGCCTCTGGGCTGCAAGTGGTCAGACATAAACTATATTCATATTCATAACAAAACACTTCTTTTGGTTATTTTTGCATAGGCGCCTGGCTTATTGGTGTCCTCAATAAAATAGAGCATAGTTTTTGACCCAATTTTAAACTAAAATAACGTTATATAAACATGTCATGAACTAAATGTTCGCCGTTCATGCAGAGCGAGTTCAATTTGAACACGTGAGTCTTTTTCAAGGACCACGAGTTGGAATGTGCTGGCGGAAATCCAAAGACACAACTGATGCTCGCAAGGTCCTCAGGAAAGCTTTGCATCTTGAACCAATTTCGCGAAAAGTCCATTTCTACTAATTAAGTTTGCAGGGGAATCAAATTCAGCAATGGATCCGCTATCGAGAACCAACACCCTGCAAGTGAAAACAAAACAGTTTATTTGTCATGGTAACTTCTTCAATTCCCGCAATCTTATGAAACCAGCCTGAACAAGTCGTCACCGCGTTCAGAACCATTCAACAGGCCGGAGAGAGGTTAAAATCTCTCGGCCCTACTTTTCAAGGCTACAAAGCTACTCAGATTTCTACAACTATTTTGCATCTTTTAAGTCGCTAACTTCGAGAAATGAAAGGAAACGTCTCCTCAAAAAAATCAATTTATTCTGAAGAAGAAATGAAAAAAACAAAGCAAAACAACGACAAAAAAAAAACAACAACAAAAAATACAAGTAAGGATATAATTTAATGGAACAAAAATAATAGAACTACCAAGATAAAAAAAAAAAAAAGGGCGACAAAGATGAAATCACAAAATGTCGTAGTGACAAGCTCTTTGCTGGGAGGCCTTTTCAGATCAGAAATTCGTTCGCAGGTCCTGGAAGGTTAAAGACTTGGTTAACGGTTGCTTCACCACGAACGCTAAAGAAGATCCATTTCTAGTCATAGCAGAAATCACAAGTCGGGCAAAAACTACTAACCTGTCATAATCCATAATGGTATTGAGCCTATGAGCGATGGTGAACACTGTGCGGTCAGCAAACTCTCGCCGAATCGTTTGCTGAATGAGTTCATCAGTTTCCAAGTCCACCGCGGCCGTGGCTTCGTCCAGAACCAAGATCTTACTTTTACGTAGCAGCGCACGTGCTAAACACACCAACTGCCGTTGACCAACACTACGGAATACAGCCAGAATGAATAATTTGTTTCAAAATGAAGTCGAAGGAAAAAGGTTCGTTCAGTAAAGTACCTCAAGTTCTCTCCTCCCTCTGCAATTGTGTACTGAAGTCCCTCACTCAGCCCCGAGACAAAGTTCTTCAGGTGACTCACTTCCAAGACGTGCCAGAGCTGGTCATCAGTGAATTTACTGAATGGATCAAGGTTAAGTCGAAGGTCCCCAGAGAACAGCACTGGATCCTGTTGCGATATTCATGCTAAGAATTAGAAGGATCAGGAAACGCAAAACCAAACTCTAACAGTACTAGCAAGGCAACACAAAAAAGATTAAATCTGATCGAAAAAAAACAGCAAGCTCTTAAATTCACAAGTTCACCTGGGGCCAGATCATTTATCTATTTATTTACTGACTTCGCCAAACAACAACAATCTAAATAAATAATAATAATAATAATAATAAAAAAGACAATCAATGACAAAAATTAAAAAAAAAAAAAAGGCAGGGACACCGTTACTGTGTAGCCAATTACAGTGGGCCCATCATTCGTTACCAACCCCCGCACACTATGATAACGTCACCTTGTGGAACCGAAGGTCCATCCTGACAAAACTTACCTCGGTTTCATTCTCAGGTAGCACGTAGCTAAGGGGACGGGGGGTATTGCTACCACCTCTGGATGGGAGGTCAGTCCTTCGCAATGTTACCTAGTCCATCGCTCTAAGTTTCCCTAACAGCTCACCGGTGCCAGGACAACTTGATCAAGAAGCTGGCGTACTAATCACCAGGTCACCTCATCTCGCATACACACGTGCCCGTACACATGTCAATATTATTCAAACACGCATACCTATACTGTGCTATTACCTGAGGGATGATGGTTATCCGCGAGCGTAAATCCTGCAGCCCAAGGGTAGCAATGTCAACACCATCGATTGTTATTTTTCCACCAGCTCTCTCCAGAATACGGAACAAAGCTAACGCTAATGACGACTTTCCTGCTCCAGTTCGGCCAACAATGCCTACCTAATGGAATCAAACAGGACAAGAAAATTTGAAGCGACTTTTTTTTATCACACTGAACGTAAACAGAGGGTGGGGTAAATAGGATGAACTTGTTTCTGACTCTCGGGTTGTCGAAACATCAGTCACCGCTATTGACGATAGCAATTCCAACCCTTTCACTCCAAGGATCTCATGAGTAATTCTCGTTCCTGTCTGTCATAAAATTCTTATGATTTTAGTTCAGAGAATTTGATATTGGATCAACTAATAATCCCTTGATTGATATTTTTTTTTGTTCTCATCACTTGTCTGCTTGATGATGCATTGATGTTGTAAGGAAAAATTATGTCTTGGTCGCTGACTCAAGGGATTTAAGGGTTAAAGATTTCACTCACCCGGACAATCCGACTTCATGATCAAATACATAGGAAAGTGTGAGTGAACAGTGCGTTGGCCCTCAATATTATCACTGACGCAATTTGACATGTGAAGCTTTCCAGTTAGCAATGATTCATTGCGCGCAAAGCTTAAAACCATGAAGTATTTAAAAGTCGAACTCCGAAACTTGAGTCTCTCTTGGAAAGACAAAAAAAGGACCTAGTTAATCCACAAAGCTTCATCTAAGAGCCTTTCCCCTCTATTTTACATTCTGTCTCCATTAACAGCCAAGATCTGCTTGTTGATTCTCCTCTCCAGCTGCTACACATTTCTTTGAAAATTAGTTACGAAAATTAGGTATAAGAACGAGATCACAACTTCTAGCTGATAAGCTTAGGTATTCTTATAATCTGTTTGCAGGACAATGTTTAGATGTTATAGAGAGAAGTTACGTGTTAACCACATCTGGAAGTAAAAGTTTAAGAAACCAAAGTATAGAACACAGTGGCACGATTACATGTTCATAGATTACTCCGGCTTGTTTGTGTACCTTTTCTCCAGGTTTAATATCGCAGCTGATCTGTTTTAGTACAAGAGGTAATCCCTCTCTGTATCTCAAGTCAAACTGTTCCATTACAATCCGTCCAGTGAATGGCCAGTCGTCTGGCGGTCGATTTTCGGGGATGATCCATCTAGCCTAAGTTAAAAAAAAAATATGATTGAAAGTGAATGAATAAAGAAAATGACGATGTTACATCTCTTCCAACCTACTCATTAAATATTTATGTTGTAGCTTAACGTAAAACTCAACGACCTCTAACCAGGTTAATTTGTTTATTTCTGTTCTGGAAGAATAAGGATAATTTAACTACAAAATCATCACACTAATTTAAAATCATCTTGAGTTCAATTCCCGAGAAACCTTCAACTATCACGCAGTTAAAACCTCGAGCTCGGAATCTAAGAGTTTTAAAAATGAGTATTCCTATCATTATTATTATTATTATTATCATTATCATTATCATTATTATTATTATTATCATTATTTACCTCTGTATCTGTTTCTGAATATTCTTTCACTCTTTCAACAGAAACAAGTTGAGTTTCCAGTTCACTTGTCATGCGCACTGCCCAGTTGAGAGTTTCCGTAATCTAATGAAGACACGGGAGAAGTAAATAAATCTGATAAATTCCTCAGTTCTTGTTACAAATGTGTCTTTCAGACTCCCAAGTGGTGTTATCAGCTTGTGTTATATTGCAGTGTCGGTATGTACTTCAAACTAAGTTTCCCTTTCTTTAACATAACTGAGAGCTACGATAACGTTGAGTTCGACATTTCTTGTTGTTAACATAAAGACTCAGCACCAGGAACGCTCTGTCGAGGAACCTCGTTCTCGCCAGTGCTCCGGCCATGTTGACGTTCAATACAACGCAACAAATTTATGGCACAGTACTGGATTGTGTCCTCACCTCTAACGAATACGTCAACGACATTCCGACCAACCCACTTATGATTTTGTCTCTGCTAAACACAGCAAATAAACCAGCTAAGAGTATTAAGCAGTTACCGAGAAATTCAAGTCGAACTGCAAGCCAACTGTGGAGACTATACACAGCATTAATGATCCCCAATGTTAAACYAKKKCRRKTAYCKAYMMGYKCCKAYMRCRMMRCCTAAATTTCTGTTTCCCCATTTTCGTTGTGGCCAAAAATCAGCACGGGCACGGAAATTATTGGCCTTAAGTGCCGTTCAACATGGATGAAACAGAAATTCTAAAACGTTCAACTTAACTTAACGAAACACACCTACTCTGTTTCTAATAAACATTAAATTTCAGTTTAGCAATCCGCCATAACAGAGCTTACATGAGAAAAACGAGGCTCAGAACGTGTGCTCTTGATGAAGTAGCCATTTACGTTCACAGTTGAGCAAACTAGTGTAATAATTTAATGAAGTCCTGCGGCATGACAATTCTCACGTAAGCCTATGGTAACCAAAAAGTTCTAATTAATGCATGGGAGCAGAAACAAAACAAAACAAAAAAAAAAACCGACACCACGCTTCGACGATCTAAAAAGCGTTTTTAAGTCAACAGCCCCTCCACTCTCCTCCCCCAGCTTTCCCTGCACGTGCTTCTGATTGTTTCAAAATATAATTTGACTATACTTACTTTATGATGTGCACATGCGCAAAACTACGAACCCTCCCTTGTTTTCCCCTAACGTCCTCTTTCTCACCTGTTTGAAGATACAGTAGAATAGTAAGCCACTTGATTCTCATCCGTTTTGTAGTAATTATCGAGGATAAAGCGACGTTGTTGAGAAAATGCTCGTATGGTGCTGGCGCCGTTCACTGTTTCCAGGAAGTGACTGTAGATTGGTGATCGACTGACGGACTCGATCCTTTGCAACTGCCGCGATGTTGCCACATAAACTCTCTGTAGAAATATATTAAAATCCGTTCAATGCTCTCAACATAATGACCAAGGAAAGAAAAAATGGCTCCTTCTCACTCTCATTCTCTCAACACAGTGCACCACAGTTTATGCACGTTGAATAAATTTAGGCTGAGATTTTGCGTTAGCTGTTAGAAATCTGTTGCAATCCATTCCATCCTCGGCCAACTTCGTTCTTCGACCGAGCCAACACGCAAGCACTCTTGAATTTGATTGAACGCATATATTAGCTATGTTAAACTAAAAGTTTGCAGAGGTAGAATTCAATTTGAGACTTCTTAAAACGTCCTCGTTAAGTAGTTAACGCAATCTGTGCTAGAAAATTTCGTTCACGACAGCTATTGTTTGGGTCCACTTGTCTCAAAGACTGCCAACCAGGAGACACAAGAGTTCACATTCTTCCATCTATACAAACAAGAAAACTTGCCACAGCAAAAGACGGGCTCTAGGCTTTCTTTTCGCCTTGACTCACTTACCTGTATATAAAAATAAAAAATTGCACAAACAGGCAACGTGGCTAAAAACAGCGGAGTGGCATAACTTATGGCCACGATCATCCCAATGATTTCGAGTGAGCACCAGAAAAAATTCGTCACACATTGCGGTATAGTGACATCAATAATGTACAAGTCTTTCGAGAACCTGTTGACAATTCTCCCCACTGGGGTGGTATCAAAGAAGCTCATTGGTGAATGCATGATGTTGACCAGGAGGTTGCGGTGCAACCTTCGAGAAGCCTTTATGGCTCCAATTGTGAAAAAAATGGAAACAAGGAAATTGAAGAATCCTTGTCCCAAACCGAGACCACCGTAAATTCCTAAGTAGAAGTCTCTTTGTTCGTCTGTAGTGACATTTGCGGAGCTCCAACGAGCCAGCCATATTCCTGTCCCAACTGAGCAAGCTTCCATCAGGAACAAGGATAATATGGTGAGGAAAGAAGCGCAACAGCCCACGGACTTGAGATAAGAGAAGAATACTGCAAACTTGACCTAAAACAATCCGAGAAATCACATTACTGATATTAGAGAGATTTAGCATCGCGTTTACATGAAACGTGAACGGCAAGAGTGACCACGTGACCACGTTTTCCCCCACCATTTTCTCGCGTTTACCGATTGCACTTCGCCGTCACTCCGTGAAGGTAACCTGTTTCGCGTTTGCCGTGTACGTGAGATTTTCTGCGGTTTTTCTGTCAGAGTAGAAAGGGCACCAAAACTATTCTTTGTACGTCATACATGGGCGCCTTCAAATCCACCATAACGTGAGCTTACGCGAAGCTGAAGCTGTAAAGTTCTCGCTATTTTACGAGAAACGTGAAAGGAAAGCTGACGTTCGCCGTTTCACGTAAACGCCGGGTACCAAATTTCTCTACTAATAACCCCCTTCACTCGCAGATAGCGTTGGTAATTTTCCTTACCTTCTACCATACAATCCTACGGACGTTAGTTTGAATTCACTATTGGAGCCACTGGCTTTTAAACCCCTCAATTGATATTTGTCTTTATAATTTGTCTGCTTGATTTTGTCTTAATACTCTACGGAAACATTCTGCTAGTAAAATGCTGAAACCATCACGGGCCTCTCAAAAATTCTTCACCCGTAGATGAATGGTTGCTACGCAATTTGGGCATAAAAATGGTCATCTATACTTACCCTACCAGTCTCTGAGCGCTCTTCCTCGATCATTTTCCCCAGTTCATCCTTATCTTCGTTTTCAATCTTTTGACTAACATCCTTTTTGTTAGAAGTGCTTGCTTTAGAGCTAGCTGCAATAACACAAACAAACAAAAATTAAAAAAGGGAATTGTAAAAGTCTACATCTACATCTACAGCTACATTAAAAAACGTCGGTAAAGTCGTTAGACATCACACCAACGTTAAAAATACAAGAAGTGTGAATAACAACAATAGAAATAATATCTACCAGTTTAAAGTTTCTCGTTAAAATATTTGAAAATCTTAGTTTTAAGTCCCTATAGAGATGCTTTCAAAAATATCTTTCGGAAGTTTGTTCCATATTCTAAGGGTGCGTGGAAAAAAGAAATAAAAATATGCATTCTTTGTGGCTTTTATATTCAAACATTTGTAATTATGACTAG